ACAATATAAAACATTGCAATTCAGTAGTTTTTGTACAATATGAAAAAAAATCAAGGATTGCCAGTTATGTATTGATTATATACTGTTTATGACATCCTTTTCAGTACTTCAGTGATACTGAAGTACTGAAAATCATTGTTAATAGCTGAGTCTCAAAGAAATATTTATTTGGTCCAAAATCTGAAAAATATCTTGACTTGCAATCTACAACAATTTTCATGTTTGACTCTAGGAGAAGGTCTCATCTCTGTTTATTATCCAAGGGAGACTTCCATGGTCATGTGGCCAGCAGGCCTATATGCCAAAGAACACAGAATGTTCTTATCTTCCCTCCAAAGTGGTTCCTATTTATCTACTCTCATTAGCATGCTTTTGAATTACTAGGTGGGCAGAAGTTGGGCACTTAATAAGAGCTCACCCCTTCATATGGAACATGGGTCTCAAACCTGGTCTGTCCAGCTGACCAGCTCAGTGTCCACTGAGCCACTGTGCCCCCAAAGAACATATAATTAAAGTTTATATGCTATCATGTTTTAACATGTCATAAGATAAGAATGTCCCTTGTATCTGAGCTATTTGTTAGAGTTATGGAATTTTTGACACAATGATAAATCTATGAAAAGAATTGGTGAGGAGTAGCTTGTGTCTATGTCATCCAGGTTTCACAGAGAATATACATTCCTGTCTCTCAGGCAGGATCTTTTTTGTTCTTTTAGAAACTTTTGGCAGAAGGAATGAAGCTGTGGAGATAGAAGGGAAGAGAGAACCAAAACACTATTCCAATATATGTTTAAGCTTGGAATTTGCCAGAAGGCTTTTTCAAGATAACATTTGGACGAGACGTCATCTATTCCAAGGATTCTCTGGAGAATAGGCAAAACATTAACTTGCCTCTTTTTATGTCTTTTTAAATGTAATATATATAAATTTAATATATAATCTGATAATTACTGTCTTTATATTAGTTCAATTCTTGTGTGCTTTGACATTTCTAAATATGAACATAGCTTCAAAACAGAAAGTGTTATCTTTGGATCCTTTCAAAACCTTGTCTCCTGCATATTTTTCTATAGAATGTTCTTCTTCAGTGCTGTCTGTGTATGATTTTAGGCTAAAATTGAAGAAAGTAGATAAAAACACTAGGCCACTCAGGTATGAACTAAATCCCTGATGAATATTCAGTAGAGGTGACAAATAGATTTAAGGAATTAGACAGAGTGCTTGAAGAACTATGGACGGAGGTTCACAACATTATACAAGAGGTAGCAACTAAAACCATCCCAAAGAAATGCAAGAAAGCAAAATGGCTATCTGAGGAAGCTTTGCAAATAGCTGAGGTAAGAAGGGAAGTGAAAGGCAAGAGAGAAAGAGAAAGATACGCCCAATTGAATGCAGAATTCCAGAGAATACTTAGAAGACATAAGAATGCCCTCTTAAATGAACAGTGCAAAGAAATAAAAGAAAACAATAGAATAGGGAGGACCAGAGATCTCTTCAAGAAAATTGGAGATATGAAGGGAATATTTCATGCAAAGATGGGCATGATAAAGGACCAAAATGCCAGGGACCTAACAGAGGCAGAAGAGATTAAGAAGAGGTGGCAAAATTACACAGAAGAACTATACAAGAATGAGCTTAGCGTCCCTGATAACCACAGTGGGGTGGTCACTGACCTTGAGCCAAACATCCTAGAATATGAAGTGAAATGGGCCTTAGGAAATCTGAGCAACAACAAAGCTAGTGGAGGAGACAGTATTCTAGCTGACCTATTCAAAATCTTAAAAGACGTGTAGTAAAAGTGCTACACTCAATTTGCCAGCAAATTTGGAAAACTCAACAGTGGCCACAGGATTGGAAAAGATCAGTTTACATTCCAATTCCAAAGAAAGGCAATGCCAAAGAATGTTTAAACTATCACACCATTGCACTCATTTCACATGCAAGTAAAGTTATGCTTAAAATCTTACAAGCTAGACTCCAGCAGTATGTGGATCGAGAACTTCCAGAAGAACAGGCAGGATTTCGAAGAGGCAGAGGAACTAGATATCAAATTGCCAACATATGCTGGATCATGGAGAAAGCTAGGGAGTTCCAGAAAAAAACATCTGCTTCATTAACTATGCTAAAGCTTTTGATTGTGGCAACAATCTTAAAGAACAATCTTAAAGAACAACAAATTGTGGCAAGTTCTTAAAGAAATGGGAGTACCAGACCATCTTATTTGTCTCTTGAGAAACCTATATGCAGGTCAAGAAGCACTTTTTGTATTGAAATCAATGGAAAAAATCTTGCTACCACAAGGTGAATGTATTAATACTCCTTAATTTTTAAAGGGACTTCTACTTGACATATTGAATTACAGAAATTCCACTTGGTCTTCAACAATCATGTTATCTGTCCTGTTTAGTTTTTCACAAAACAGTTCAGCATAAAATTATTATTAATTGTAGAGGGCTTCTCAAAGACTTCAGTTGGCTTCACATTAGTTGGATGTGATTTCTCCCCCATTGCTAATGTATCAAATATGTTCAAGAGCACTTATGAGGGATAAAATGTACAAGTCAAATTGCTGTTATTATAGGGAAGAATGGAATTTCTTGGCAAATCCTAAGAATGTAAATATTAAATGCATTCAGAAACAAATGAGAACAAAAAAATGGAAGTATACTAATCTGTAATATTATGTATCCATTCATCTACAGTATGTTCTGCTGGATTCCTGAGGTTGGTTTTCTTCTTGCAGTTGCTTTATTATTGATATGGAAGAGAAGGTTTGTGACTTGTTTATATGAGTGATTTACTCTACCAGCTTGATTAAAAATGTGCATAATTTCACACAAGAAACTACACATTTTAGAAGTTAGGCCTAAAAATGCAAGATGATTCCTAGAAGCTTGATACTTTGACAAATTACCATCAATAAACATGTAGAAATAAATTTCATTTATACATCATTCAAAAGGTACAGAGTTCAAACAAAGGGCAAACAGCCATGAGCACATCATCCCTTATCACACACTTGCAGAGCCAAAACTAAATAAAGAGGAATAAATGAAATAAGCAACAATACCCTGCTGATAGGAATAAGCTGCTATTTATAAATAAATGATGATGATGTTTTTTTTAGACTGGCAATAAAATGTCTGCAAAAAAAAAAAAAAGCTCAGAGAAGTCAAGGCCCATAATACAACTCTAAGCTGCATATACATTATCTTTCATCATTGCAATACAATGTCCATTTACGCCATAAAAATCAAAGGTACAAGTACAGATGGGTGAGACCTGGCTAAAAACAATAACTGGTAGGGACCTTGGAGTCCTAGTGGACGATCACTTAACCATGAGCCAGCAATGTGCAGCATCAGCCAAAAAAGCTAATACAATCCTGGGTTGTATAAACAGAGGCATAGAATTAAGATCACACAAAATATTAGTACCACTTTATAAAACCCTAGTGAGACCACACCTGGAATACTGCAGCTAATTTTGGTTACTGGATCACAAAAAAGATGTTGATAGTTTGGAAAAAAATTCAGAGAAGAGCAGCTAAGAGGACCAAAGGCCTGGAGACTAAAACATACGAAGAACGGCTGCAGGACTTGAGTTTGGCTAGTCTAAAGAAAAGAATAAATACAGGAGACATGATAGCAGTATTCCATATTTGAGGGGCTGCCACAAAGAATAAGGGGGTCACGTTATTCACCAAAGCACCAGAGGGCAGGACAAGAAATAATGGTTGGAAACTGATCAAAGAGAGAAGCAACCTGGAATTAAGGAGAAACTTCCTGACACTGAAGAAATTAACCAGTGGAATAGCTTGCCCCCAGAAATTGTGGGCTCTCCATCACTGGAGATTTTTAAAAAGAGGCTACACAGTTGCTTGTTTGAGATGGTATAGGTTCTCCTGCTTAAGCAGGGGGCTGGACTAGAAGATCTCCAAAGTCCCTTCTATTCTATTCTATTCTATTCTATTCTATTCTATTCTATTCTATTCTATTCTATTCTATTCTATTCTATTCTAGGATAACAAAATATTTTACCTACATTAAAGCTACTATACTCAGGCTGCAAAAATCCAGATGATCACTAGAAGAAAGCAAAGATATACAAAACTCTATTATAGTGGTTCTCAACTTTTCTAATGCCGCGACCCCATAATACAGTTCCCCATGTTGTGGTGACCCCCAACCACTTATACATCACCGGGTGCCAGGGGCGTGGCCAAAGAAAAGGGGAAAAAATGGTGGACAGCCTTGTTTGGCGACCCCCATGAAATGGTCGTTCAACCCCAAATGGGGTCCCAACCCACAGGTTGAGAACCACTGCTCTATTATGAGTGCCTACAATTAATAAGCATAGTATACTAATTCAAACGAATCAGATGAATATAATGAGAAGTCAGTACGAATATCTTATATACTTTATTTTATGGAACACTTTATAAGTTATTTCACTATACCATTTTAAAATAAGTATTGCTAGACTAAATCTGTTTGATCTTTTGGGTGTTATTTTTCTTGCATACAATTTATATAATATCATCATACATGTATGAAATGTAATATCTATGTTTCTTATTTGTTGTAGATTTGGGAAACAAATTATGAAATAATGCTATATTATTTCACATAGATATGAAGAAATCCAGACTGGATAGGATTGGCATAAGAGACAGTCATTATGGCCAGAGTCAATGCTATTTGGGGGCAGTCTTTATACATCTAAATTAAGAATTAAAGGAAGTAATAAACTCAACTTGCCTATATGTACAAAATACAGCATAGAAGAATGTTTAAAATCCAGAAATAAACATTTTTAATAATTCCTTAAAAACATTTTTGATATCTTTATATATTTATGTATTTTTAAAGTAAAACTCACATTATTCTGCAGTACTTAAAATATAATATCATAATTATAACATTTATCTTTTATTCATACTGATTTAAAAGGGGCAGAGAGCAAATACATGTTATATTCCAGTTAATGATGAACAATACCTTTATTTCTTGAATGTTCAGGACTCCTTTCCTGCTGAAATTGAAAATAAAGAGAAAAGCAATAATTACTTCATTTATACTGTTTATAAATAAATAATGTTGATAAATATGTGTTTAAAAATTGTGGTATTATTTTTTCTGAATTCATCAGGATTAGATCACTTTAACAATATGTGAAAACATTTGTACTGACTTTGTATGCATAATCCATTCCCATTAGAGTTGTTTGAATACTTTCTTGGAGTGGACCATCTTAGTCTATGGTAGAAAAAGTACTATGGTGATACTTTTTTCAATTAATAGATGATTTTAATGCTCATGAACTTTCATGAGCATCTGATAAAGTGAGCTGCAGTTCACAAAAATGTGTGTCTTTTAGTAAAAGTGATTTTTTAAAAAAGAAATGTTCGAAGGCTGAATGAATGAATGAATGAATGAATGAATGAATGAATGAATATCAAGTATTTCTAACGCCATTACTCTGAAGCACATTTATTGAAAATAAACCTAATTGAAGAATCTAAAATATTTTTATATAAATTTATGTAGTCATTTCAATTCTGGTTCAAAATGCTACAGAACTGGGATATATATCCAGTGAACATTGTTAAGACAAAGTGAGCCTTTTATTTTCTTGATTTTCCTATACAATGATATTTCCAATTATTTGTGAGCTCCCCCATCTCTTGCTAAATTCTGAAATGTAATTTATAAAATTAACTTGACTGAAAAGCAAAGACAAGAAATTGCAGAAAACTAATTTTCTTCATACCTGATAGTTCAGGATCTGTACAATTAAAACATGTATTTTCAGAAATATCTAATGTAATAATTAAAAACTATATATTCAGAGTTAGTTCAGATATTTCTTTCTACTGTACCTTTTTGATAATAAATAGTTTACAGTCCCTTTGTCTCATTAATTAGTTGGTTGACCTAGTATTTACAAAACATATTATATTAACAGAACAACAGCCTTTATTTTCTGCCTTATCAGCTATATTTGTACATCAGGAAAACCCAGACTATATATAGGATAGGCATTACTTGAGTGATCTGGCACATCGTCAACATTCTCTAGGGAAAATATCATATAAGAATTATTGTATCAGTTTAACTAAAATCTCTAAAAACTACACTTTGGGTCTATCCTGGATCTATTTTTAAATCCTCCATAATTCATATTATTCAACTTCAAAGAAACCACTAAAATGAGGAGCAATTTACTATGCATTTTCAGAGTAAACCAATGCAAAAGACGTATAAGAAAGATTTATAAAATGTCACATGTATACTCAACTTGAAACCTCATTGATAAAATAATAGATCTGCCCAAATGTATAATATCAGTGTTTTGTTCCACTTATTATGGTCTTTGCCTCCACTCTAACACGCTCTGTGTTTCAACGCCTCATTGATTATCTACAATGGTCACACATGCTTATCTCTGGGCTAATATAATACTCTCAATCATTAATGAAGCATATATGATACTCTTAACCATTAATGTAATTTATAGCTGCAGTTCACAAAATGTGGTTATGATTTGATATAATATTCTAATCCAGACACTATTTTCCAGAAAAACAAAATAAACTTGCAAATTGTAAATATAAAGATACTTCATTGACATGCACCAATATGACTTTTAGTTATTATAAATATCTGGGAGAAAAGGACTGGTGTATTTCAAGGACTGGTGTATTTCAAGGACTGGTATATGTGTTTTTTTTTTTAATGAGCCTGCACTTTGCTCAACATCTGTTAATTAGCCATGGGTCTCTGAAGAATAAAGGTGTTCATATGAGCAAATTCTTTCTTGATTGCAACACAGAGGATTTAGAAAGCAATTTCAAGAATTGCTTTCTAAACCATGTGTGCTGCAGTCAAGAAACATCTTGCTCATATGAACACCTTATATCAACAGAAGGATCTTGCTCATTTGTCCACTTTTTTTTGCTCATATGACCACTACCTCTGTGCTGCAATCAAGAAATATCTTGACCACCCCCTGAAGTTCATTGTTGATGGTTCTTTTAATCTTTAATCTAAAATAATTTGGTCTGCTGTTTACCAAAGGGTTTTATATATATATTTGAAAATTTCATCAATGACAGAGATTTGATCATCTGTATGAATTATATTTTGCTGGGTTGCTATTAGAGTCAGCAGTAAACATTTAAACCAATATTACCATTCAAAGCCTTTTCATTTAGTATTTCATTGTACTAAATAACATTATCAAATGTTTATCTTATAGATGCTTATTTTAAATTTCACTGATGTTACAGGTTTGATCCTCTGTAAAAGCAACAGCAAAATCTCACTGTTAGAAGTAGAGAGTTGTAGTTAACAGAAAACTATTCAGTGAAATTTTCATTTAGTATTTTACTATGAATATTTTTATTGAAAACTACCCTGATCCTTGACAACAAATTTCATTTTTTTAAAAAAAAAATCCTAAATGAATGAAACGGAAAAGTTGACTATCCAAAAGACATGCAAAGTACATTGTCAATCTTATATGTCATCTTTCTTACAGATGCCCTTATCATAGGATAAAGCTAAAGTTGACAACTCGTTTGTTCATTCATTTCTATTTCTCTATGACACACATCCTATTAGTATCCCAACGACCATGAGAGTATTATTTCTCATTGAAACATCAATTGACATCATATTGCATTCTTCAAGCTTAATTTCTAGACATATTTTACTTTGATAGACAAACCAATTCTATAAAAATAGTCACATTGTTATAAGAATTTGGAAGTACATATGTAAGTCATGTAAACTTGTGGATCAATCCCTCGATATACAGCAATTTAAAAATAGAGACTATCACTCTATCTACTACTCCTTTTCACATTGTGCCTTTCACAAAAGTAAATTCTGTTGATTTGCCACTTGCATTTAGAATAGAAATACAATACAAAATCAGCCAGCTTAACATCTGCAACACAGTGCATGATTTCAGTTCTGCTTTTTGAAAAGAAGTTGATTATTATGTTTGTAAATAAAACTAGCAATTATTCTGCTTGCAAGCCTTTTTTATTGCTTTAATGTTATTTTATGTTCCAACTTACTTTGAGCTTATTGTAAAAGGGAGAACTAGATGTAAAATAAATCAATATATGATTTGTACAAAAACTGGTCTGAGGTTTGAGAACATCAGGCTTAGTCTTTTCAACCTCTTATCCAATTTAATGTTTATTATTAGGTTTTTTTAAAAAAAAAACAAGCTTACCATAAAGGTTTTTGACTGTTCCATGCATTTGCAGTGGCAATAAAGTAACACAACACATTCCTATAACACATACTGTTAATGTGTACTATACTATATGTATATGCCATGGTAACAAAAATATAAAATGGTATAAGAATGTCAGGAAGAATTTGCTTACATTATGCCACTTATTAATTTTTTCACTCATTTGGCACAGGATAAAACAGGCTGCAAACATATGTGACATGTAACATGCCAGCAATCTAGCTAGCTATAAGTAATGATTTAAAAACATCACAAATTGCCTAACTATAGATCAAACAGTGTTAAAGCTCATGCTATGCTAAATCATTTGTTACTTTATTTATGGTTTTGTGTATATCTCACAGTCCCTAGGCCAGGGGTAGGCAACCTTGGCTCTTTTGTGACTCGTGGATTTCAACTCCTAGAATTCCTGAGTCAGCATGGCTGGCTCAGGAATTCTGGGAGTTGAAGTCCACGAGTCATAAAAGAGCCAAGGTTGCCTACCCCTGCCCTAGGCATATACATTGCATAGTCATAATGTTGTTTGGTTTTAGCTTATACAAAATGTGGCTATGATTTACAAATCATGATTTATTTATTTTGTATTTTTGATTGCATTTTGGTTGCATTTTATTCAAAACCGATGGTAAAACTAATTACTTAGCAAAATGCATGAAGTCATGGCATGGTACATAATGAATCTATCCACTCTGCACAATGTATTGATACATTTCAATTATGGCTTCATTATAATTGTTATTACAGCTATGGCATAATTAAAAAAAATAAAATCATAGTTTACTGTTCTGGATAAACTAAGACAAATAAGGCATAAGTCACTATTTTTAACCCAAAATCTTGGGTTCATAAATAATAAATCAAACAAACAAAAAACATTACAATAGTATATTATGCTATGTGAATCAAATCAATGAGAAATATAAAAAAGACACTATCTTTTCTATCCTATTTTTTTACTTGAATAGTTACACCATGATTTACAATCTAGAATCCTGAAGTACTTCAATATAACTTACTTGTGTAGATACTGTATGCATATAAGATATAGCTGTAAAATAGGTCAATGAAAGGAAATGCTATTTCTCCTAGATATCTATCAGACAGATACACATCAGAGAATACAAGCCTGTCAGAAGGGGATCAAAATATAATTTCATATCTGGCAAGTCCAACAGTCTTCTTTCCTTAGCATCTTGCAATAATTTATATCTAATTATTATTTTTTCCCTTGCCCTATAAACTTAGAGATATCCACCTCCCATTATTTAAATGGAGTATCACTTATAAGTATTGGTAAAGTCTGAAGCAGAAAAAAACATCTTTGGTAAAAAGTAATCTTAAATTATAGAGATTCTACCTAATAATGATAGTTGCAATTTGTCACATCTAAATAAGTCTTTTTTAATATCATTCCAAATAGGCACAAAGTTATTTTGAAACAGTTTAGTATTTATATTTGTCAATATAGTCCCCAGGTATTTCACCTTTTTCTCCATCTTAAAAAACCCACTTTTTAGTCAATATTTCACAATCCTGAGAGGTCACATTTTTAACAAATATTGTGTAAGGACCCACCCCACTTTGCATCTTAAGAAGACAGAACTCTTGGAATAATTCTTCCAACAGGAATCCTTTATTAAGAAGAAGTGGTTGCAGGCATGCTAGACAGGACTTGGGGTCCAAGCTCTCCCATTCAAGGTTTTAAGGGGTTCCCCAGCAGTCCCACCCAATCACCCCCCCTTCCAGTGATAGTTTCAGGCATC